TCTACGGACTACCAGCATCTTGTGTTAATATGGAGAAGTCTGAGGCCATTTTGCTTCCCTTTGCAATAAACTACTTTTCTTTCGGCAACTAAATGAATACTGGTTCTTTATCCCTGATGACCCCTTTGATCCTGTGATCCTTTTCAATTTAGAGCCTTTGGAGCCTAAGTATGTCCCATTAAAAGTAATTTGTTAGGCATAATATATGTCACAACTCTAAGACATAAAAATAAGTAATGGTTTCTGTCAAGGAGATTGTTAGGAAGAGAAAACAAATAGTACAATAACAATAGGTGAAATATTGTCTTTGACATGAGATAAATGCACAGCATTTAGAGGGTTCAAAGGAAAGAAAACACATCTATTTTCAAGGAAAGAGCAGAGAGACACAAAAAAGTTCACATAAAGGTGGGAGCGTTTCTGTTGGAGGACTGAATGTGTGAGACAATGACATGAAGGGTGGCATCTGAGAGAGAAACCAAAGAGCATGAATAAAAGCATGATATCAGAAGAACAAAGGCTGTATTCAGCAAATATTGACCACAGCATCAAGATACATGTAGGGAGAAATGGCAGGCAGATAATACACTTGTTAAGGCTGGCTGAGTATGGAGAATCTCAAGCACCCGTGCTGAGGAGTCTGAAATTACTATTAGATCCAGTTAGCATTTTTGCAAATTACAATTTAAAATTAGTAACTATTAAAACAATACTAGAAGGAGAAATGAATTCAGGTTCAACTAAGAGTTATGAAAATGGACTTACATATGATTAGATCTTCTTCCTCTATTTGTTTTCTTTCCTATGACTGGAGTGCCAAAATGTTCAGGGTTGGTGAGTGGGAGCTGGTCTAATGTCTGTGGGTAAGAACATAAACCCAGCAAAGTTATTACGTTGCAAGTTCTTTTCCTTTTTAAACCAAATCAGTTTAAGAATATGCTTAGATTTTAAGATTAAAAACTGCCCCCAAGGAAGACTAAAATACAACTTTCCTAAAGATAGAAATTGTCATTTCAAAGGTATTAGAATCAAGATGAATGAGCCCATTGCTGGAAAAAACAAAAGAAAGTGAGAAGAAATTTAGTTGTTCTTTCTACATGGTTTCATTATCTATTTGAAGCCTGACACACTTCTGAGAATGATTAAAATACAAACAAAACACTAGAAAATAGATTTCAGAGATAAAAAAAACCTGTATGTAAGGATCTAACACCTAAACTGGGGGCCGACTGCTACTCAAATTTCTCTTTGTTCAAAGGGAATCATAATCCATAACAGAATTCTTAATAAGTAACAAACAAAATCATCCAAAACCACGTATCAATTGCTTGCAAAAAGGCTTTCAATAGGCTGTATTATTACTTTGCAAACATTTTCTTCAATAAACTTTTTTTCCCTTAAAAGAAAATATAAAATTTAGCTTTTCTGTGTTTAATTTCCCCTTCCTTTTAAATCTGCAACATCCAATACAGTGCTTGGCATGAAGATAATGATCTAGAAGTAAGTAATTCTTGTTGTCAACTGACAGTTCATGTCAAACTCTTTGCCCCTCCCCCCATTCTAAAACGACTTCCAAGTGAGAAACTGGTTATTGATTAAAAGCAGAATGAAGAAAAAAGGGATTTTGGAATGATTCCCTTCATTTCTCAATATCAGATATTTCTTAGATTTTTTTTTCCATTATTTTCTGAAAAGGGTTCTACATCTAAGAAGTTAAGGTACTGATCTAAAGACACTATCCCAACTAACTTCATTCTGCGTATCAATTATGAGAATATTCCTACTTTTTCTGCATTTTTAAGATCTTCCACACAGCTGCTATTCCTTTTATCCCTCCAGTAGAAGCTTTGCTGTTACAGATGATGTCATGAATGCCAGCAGAACTAAAGATCCCAGAAAAACTGTCAGGATGGACGTAAGGGTGAGTATTTAGGATAAAGACTTCTCGAAGTTATAAACTAAGGTGTTACATGAAAGAGTATACACCAACTTAAATTTTTTTTTTAAGATGAGATAGCTAAATATAAACTAATGTTAATATTTAAAAGGAAATTTTTATTTTTAAAACAGGTAATTTTGTCAAAACAATGATGAACTATGATATGAAAGGGGGAAGCATATTCATAATCTGTTTTGTTTAACTTAAATGTATTTGAGATATATATAACTATGTGTCCAACAACAAAGAATATTGGTAAAGGTAAAAGGTACTACCATAAAACATGAAGTAAAGAACAGTTCCTTCAAAAGACAGACAAAACCCTAACTTTTACAGGGACGAAATCTAATCCTACAAATTTAGTTTGTTTAGTTTGTTTAAATTGGGCATTTAAAAAACATTGGGAGACAAAAGTTGGTCCAAATACAATAATTTGCCAAACAAAAAATCTTTAGAAGCCATTTGTCATTAATTCCTAATTATGCTTCCCATAGGCAAAAATTTCAAAGTACTATATTTGGTAAACAGAGAAAATAAATTAATCTGGGTTCACTTTCTGCCAAGCTAACAGGACTAAATGGCGCCCCCCTCACTCCCCTACAATTAAAGTTGATCCCGTGAAAGCAGAGATTTCTATTCAGTACTGTGATTTCTATTTCAAGCATCTGCTAGTCACTAGTTACAGGAAAGAAAATACCCCGTATTTCTGATTTCTCTCCCTATGGAATAAAGACTTAGAACAGTAAGAAACAATATCTCTGTCCCTGGCCTCCAATCATGTCCAGGGAAGTAAGAGCACGTCTACTACATGTGACTGAAAAGACTCAGGTGAGGGTGGAATCTGTCTCCTCTTACACCTAAAAATCAATGAGCAGAGACCCCCAGGTATACTGAAGGCTAAAAGAAAAATCCATATGGCCTGAGGGAAACATTCCTATATCCTTATTACCTAAATGGGTTGCAGGAAATACGGAGCTGAGATTTTATGTCACTTTTCTTTACTTTTCACCTGCAGGTAGTAAATGTATAAGGAATATCAGCTGATGAAACTACTTCCAGATGATATTCAAATTATGAATGTCCTCTAGAAATGCCCAAACACTCAGGCAGTGGGCAACATCCTCACAAAGGTGGTTATGGTAGAACCAGTGATTTTAGTGCTAGAATTTAGCAGACTGAAGCACTACTGTCATCTCCTATCATGGAAATCTCGAATTTAAATCGTTTAAGTATGTACCTTATTAATGGAATTACTGACCCCACTACTGCCTGTATGATGTGCTTTTTGCTCAAAGGCCAAAGTTATTACTAGTAACAATGCTCTAAGTAAATTCTTCAAAAAATTAAAAATGCTTTTTTGAGAACATCAAAAATAACAAATAAAGGGAAAGAATATATAGATGGCAGATTAAACACACTCCTGGTCATGTTACCACAGAACTCAATACATTCATAATTTTAAAATATCTGATTGTTAGATTAATGCTTTTTCTCCTCCAACAGATGGTAAATTACTCCCAGGATAAATTCTAGGGCCACTTGGCTTATCCTCATCTCTAGTATCGAACACAGCACCTGGCTTAGGAGAATTGGGTAAGGGACAGGACACCACTATTCCAAGTACACTCCAGCAAAACATGAAATCTAACACATATAGACATACACAGTAACCAGTAAAAGTGATCCTCCTTGAAGTAAGGATACACTGAGCTACTTGCTCATATTGCTTCAGCCTTTACACTTTAACTGTCTTATGAACTATAAAATTCTCCTGACAAAAATAAAATATTTTAGCTATTTCTCTGAATTAAATAAATAAGGCACATGCCTTCACTTAGCAGATAAAAAGTCAAGTCTTCAAGCCCCCATATTCACTGATGTACTAGAACTGCACACACATTCTAAAAGAAATGAAATTATTTCTAAGAATTACATAAACTTCGGGGTTCCTGGCTGGTTCAGTTGGAATAGTGTGAGACTCTTGATCTTGGAGCCATAAGTTCAAGCCCCATGTTGGGTGTAGAGATTACTTACATAAATAAAACTTAAAAGGAAAAAAGGAACTCTATAAACTTATAAAGAATTCTGTCACTTCATCAGTCGGTGCAAGAAGCCAAATTCTAAAGTGTATTTCCTATATTTGAAACTTCATAATTAATTCAACAAATATTTACTGAAATCTTTTGTGTAGAAAACACTCCTGGGAAAAGAAGAGCCATCGAGATGACAAAAATATGGCTATTACCCCAAACAGCTTAAAATCTTACAGGGAATATAAGAAAAGTAATTTAAAATCAAATGTTAAATATCAAATAAGAGTGAGAGAAGCGCTGAGGGATCAAAGAATAAAGGGATCAAATTTGGTCAAATTTGTTTAGAAAACCCATGAAAGACATCATGGAGGAACAATCAGTGTTCGGCTGAAACCAAGAAAAGAATATGAACCACAGGGGCACCTGGGTGGTTCAGTAGGTTAAGCATCCAACTTCAGTTCGGGTCATGATTCTCACAATTCCTCGATTCGAGCCCTGAGTCAGATTCTGTGCTGACAGCTCAGAGCCTGGAGCCTGGTTCAGAATCTGTGTCTCCTTCTCTCTCTGCCCCTCCCCTGCTTGCACTGTTTCTCTCTCTCAAAGACATTTTTTAAAAAATTAATTAAAAATTAAAAAAAAGAATATGACCATTATCTGAAAATACCAAGCAGTCTTATAAGACAAAAGGACAGGGAGATGGGGAAATGAAGCACCTGGCTGGCTCGGTCAGTGGAGCACACAACTCTTTTTTTTTTTTTTTTTAAGGTTAAAAAAATTTATCATTTACTTTTAAAGGCATTAATAAAAAGCTTAACATACTAAGGTACAATATACAAATATGTTCAGTCGATATTTTCACAGATTGACTTTTCTGCACTATGTGTGACTTTGAGTTTCTTTTACTTACTCACATTACCACTGCTGACTTACTCAAACTGATTATTCCCTTGAAATACATGGCTGGTTATTTAAGCCTGAGTCACAGGCAACATGGGGCAATGCAGACGACTGTGCCACACAACCAACAGTTCATGAAGAAAAACATGAAATTTTATTCACATCGATGATGGCGCATCAAAATAGCATTCTCCTTGGGAGAGAGCTGCACTTCTTAATTGAAATGTGAGCACCGTCCTTCTTTTTGGTTTTGTTTGAAACCCATATAGTAACCAGTATGATAGCCACTCATGTACCAAGAGATTAACATACTTCCCAAAGCATCAGCATCATCAAAAGAATCTGGACATATGGGAGGTGGTGGGGGAATTACTGGTGGTCCAGAAGGAAATGGAGGCAGCCAGCATGACAGGAAGTGTGGTGGTGGTGGAGGTGGTGGTGGGCCATTGAACTTTAGACCAGGCTTTCCTGATCCCAGGCCTGCTCCTGGCATGGGGGGTGGTGGAGGGAGAAAAGAGTTCCACGAAGCAGCTTTTGACTTGACATTATTTGGTTTATTTCTAGGAGACCTGGAGGAGTTCTCACTTTCATCTGTTGAAATCTGACTTTCATTTTCATTCTCCTGAGCATTCTGTTCTAGATCATTATCTACTTCAGATGCTGGGGAAAGTAGATCAGACACATTTTGCTCCTCCCTATTTCCATAGCCAGTGTAAACCACAACGCAGGTTTCTCTCTTAAAATCAATGGAGGCAATGGTAGCTGGGTAAACGCAGCCATCTTCTGACCAAATGGCAGAACATTTGTCACCAACTTTCCACTGCTTCAGGGGTGTTGTGGTATTCTTTTTTTGGCTTTTATTCTTCTTAGCAGGTTTTCTTTTAGGTGTGCCTTTTGGTTTATCTGAAGCTTCAGAAATGTCACCATTCTTTAGAGCATGCTTAAATGAAGCCACAGCTTTATCATAAGCTTTTATCAATGCTGTATCATCCCAAATGTCAGAATCATCACTCTGGCCCGTGCCGCGCCGGAACAGCACCGAGTCCTCCTGCTCGGGAACACCGCCGCCTCCGCCCCTGGAGCACACAACTCTTAATCTTGGGGTTGTGAGTTTTAGCCCACTATGGGTGTAAAGAGTACTTAAAAGTGAAGGAAGAGAAGAGAAGAGAAGAGAAGAGAAGAGAAGAGAAGAGAAGAGAAGAGAAGAGAAGAGAAGAGAAGAGAAGAGAAGAGAAGACGAAAAGAAAGGAAAGATAGGGAAACGGTACAACTGAAGACTGAAAAAATAGGCCGGAATCATAATACACAGAACCTGCCCCAAATTCTGAATTGAAATAAGAATTCACTTATTAAAAAGAAAATATTTTCAAAACAAGAGAACACAAAATAAAGTCTAATAGTTTAATAAATTAGTCCCCAAAGAGGGGCACCTGGGGGGCTCAGTTGGTTAAGCGTCTGGCTCTTGACTTTGGCTCAGGGCATGATCTCATGGTTCATGAGATTGAGCCCTATGTCAGGCTCTGTGCTGATGGTGCAAAGCCTATTTAGGATTCTCTCTCTCTGCCCTTACCCTAGTCATGTTCTCCCTCCCCTCCCTTGCTCAAAACAAACAAACAAACAAACAAAACAAAACATCCCCCAAAAACCACTGTTCTAAATAATGACAAGAAAAAAAGAAATGATGGTTTGGCCATGCTATGTATTAATGAGTATTTACAGACTGGACAAAAAATATAACACTTTAACCATATGCCTTCTTAAAATTCTGGATTGTAAGCTCATTTACAGAACTTTGTGAACCCTCCCTTCATTCTCAATAACTGAACATTCTTCAATTCTAGAGCATGGCTTTGGTACTAGAAAATACTGGTTTGGGAACCAGCTCTGACCATCAGTTTCATCATCTGTAAATTGAAGATAATAATGCTATCTACTTCATAATGTCGTTAATGCGATGATGTGCATAAAGCAGTAAGCAAAGTCCCTGGCAAATATAAGCACTTCATTTATTCATCCAACTACGATTTATTCAGTTCCTACTCTATGCCAGGCACTGTTCTAGGAACTGGGAACAAGTGGTGAAGAAGACACATAAAATATGTGTCCTTGTGACACATTCTAGTGAGGAAGGCAGGCAATAAACAATTAATTAAGCACATATACATATTCTGATGTCAGAGAATGATACATGCTGTATAAAGAAAACCAAATCAACCTAAAAAGATTAAGAGGAATGGAAGGGACTATTTCAGAAAGGTGAGTAAGGCAAGGTCTCTTTGAGGACAGGCTATAAGAATGTCAGCTAGTAGTAATAGCAGTAGTAAGGGATAGCTTATAGTTTCTACTCCTTTAATGATGATGGGGTTCAAGTGGATTATTAATCAGACATCTACGGGGAGTCTGAGTGGCTTGGTTGGTTAAGCATCCAACTCTTGATTTCAGCTCAGGTCATGATCTCACAGTTTGTGAGATCGAGCCCCACGCTGGGCTCCGAACTGACAGCACAGAGCCTGCTTGTGATTTTTCCTCTCTTTCTCTGCCCCTCCCCTGCTCACTTTCTCAAAGATAAACAAACAAACAAAAAAAATCAGACATCTATTTTTTATAATTATTTACAAATTAGAGTCTACATAAAAGTTGCCTAAAGATAATAGTTAAACAAGCTCACTGCATTTTCTTTGTGGGCAAACGCTAAAATATTCCTACACCAAAAAAAAAAAAAAAAAAAAAAAAAGAATGTATCACCTAGTACTCAAGCACAGGCTTAACACAGGATTCACAGATTACATGATAATGATATTATGTATTAATGAATTTTCCTAATTAACAAGTGAGTTGCTTGAGTTGAGAAAGGAAAATATGCTCCCCCTAACACAAAGTATTAAGATACAGTCATTTATTAAATGATTACTTACTTCACTTTCAGCAAAATGCCTCTCTCCCTTCAGGCACAGGGAAGACCGTCGCAATGTCTTCTCATCTCCGTCATCAAAAACTATGAGGAGGTAAAATTGGAAACTATGAAAGATTTTTCAAGGGTTTCAAAGGTTAATACATTTAATTTTCTGAGTGCAAACAGAACTATTGTTTAAGAAGATTACACTTGAACTTCAGGTCACATTTTAGGTTTTCTAAATGACAACTTTAAATTCTAAAGTATCTTTTCCAATTTCTAGTGATAAAGAAACAATATAGCTGAAATGAAAAAATATTTCCTGACCCAGAAAACACCAAATGAAACTGAGATGTTAGCGTTTTAGGAAGAAACTATGTAAATGCTAATTAACCCATCTTAATACGGTAAAGACAAGTTTTCCACCTGGTAAATACAGACAGATTTATAAAAACAAAAAAACAGAACGAATACAAATTTGTATATTGACTGCCCCTAAAAAATTACACTGTTTTTACTATTTAAAGCAGGGTTTCTAAACCTGAGCACTACTAGTATTTGGGGGCAGATTAATTCTTTGTCATTGAGAAGCTATTCTGAGCACTACAGGCTACTTAGCGGCATGCCTGGCCTCTAGCCACTAGATGCCACTAGTGGCTTCCCAGTTGTGACAACCAAAAATGTCTCCAGACACTGTCAAAAGTTCCCTGGGTGACGAATCTGCTCCCCACTGAAAACTACTTAAAAGTACTAAAATGTCCCAGCAAATTTACTGTAAGTTCATATACATATAAGACACATATATTTTATAATTTTAGCATATGCTGACATTCCTCACAAATTATAAGCAAAAAATAACCCTATTTTAAATAAAGTTACTAGGCTTTGATTTTAGAAACAGTTTTTGCCTAATTGCCAAATAAGTTCTTATATATTAAATGAGACTTTACATGGGATTGGATAAAAAACTGAGTTTCTTAAATGGTGTAACTAAAATATTAAACAATAAAAATGCCATATTTATGAGACAGACAACCACACATAATTACTACCAAACTTACTCCCCAGAACTGCTCACAGTCCTGTAACCTAAAGTCAAATTTTCCCATCTCAAATTAAAATCTCCCCTCCCCAAGTTTTTTTCTCATCCCACAAAAACATAAACAAAACTCATCTATACAATTTCAAAGCTCCATCAAATTTTGACATCGTCAGACATTTTAACTAGTTGTTTACTTTCCTCTATGAGGTCATTAATAAGACTTATTCCCATCCGATACATAATGCCAAGATATGTGGCTACCAATTTGGGGGGATGGGGGAATCTGACCTTTCAAAATGTTCAAAAAACTAAACTGTAGGTGAAATAAAAAGCTATTTGCAAAACAAAAATAAAACTATAAACTGATGACTACATTGGAAAATAAATTTATAACACTGGCAGAAGGAAGCCCTTTTGAACAAGATTCAACAAGTAAAACTATAAAGGAAGAGGTGATCAGAAGAAAACTAAAAATATGAAAATGATAGGAGAGAAAAAAGTAAAGCAACAGGAGAAAAATACTTGCAACTAAAGGAGACAAGGGATAGTAACATTGAGAATATATAAAGATCTCATATCCTGAAAAGTAAGAAAAAAGATAACCATCCCAAGAGGAAAAGGGGGAAACTGGAAAGGCACTATAATATACAATTCAAAAGAGAAAAAATACAAATGAAATGATGCTCCTTTTAATAAATACATGAAAAATTGTTCAGTCTCACTAGTAATCATGGGAGGGGCACATTAAAACAAAACTGAGATAGTACATTGTAACCAGATGGGCAAAAATTTTATAGATTACAATCAACATCAAATTTTACAAGGACTGAGAAAAGAAGTGTACTCACACACTGTCCACAGAAGTGTAAATGAATACAGTATTCCAGGAAGGTGGTTTTAATTACCTAAGTTTTAAAAGATCAGGGGCGCCTGGGTGGCTCAGTCGGTTAAGCGTCCGACTTCAGCTCAGGTCACGATCTCACGGTTCGTGGGTTTGAGCCCAGAGTTGGGCTCTGTGCTGACCTCAGAGCCTGGAACCTGCTTCAGATTCTGTGTCTCCCACTCTCACTCTGACTGCCCCCCGCTCACTCTGTCTCTCTCTCTCTCAGAAATACATAAAACATTAAAAAAAAAATAAAAGTACATTTCAGTTCACTCTATGTCTACTTCTCAATACACATATGCTGGGGAAATACAGGAATAACGTGCATTTATGAGACTTTCAATCTGCCATTTATTGTAATACCAAGAAAACCTGCAATATCATCAGTTGAAAATAAAAAAGAAAATTTAAAAAAAAGAAAGGGCGCCTGGGTGGCTGTCGGTTAAGTATCCGACTTTGGCTTAGGTCATGATCTCATGGTTGGTGGGTTCGAGCCCCGTGTCTGGTTGTATGCTGACAGCTCAAAGCCTAGAGGCTGCTTCAGATTCTTTGCCTCCCTCTCTCTCTGCCTCTGCCCCACTCATGCTCTACCTCTGTCTCTCAAAAAATGTTAAAAATTTTTAATAAAAAAATTATGGCACATCAAATATTATGAAACATACTACTATAACTAAAAAATTTCTCTGTTGCACATCATGAATATCCTTAATACTACTGAAATGTACATTTAAAAAAATTTTAGAAAAAAAATTTCTCTTTGAAGGGATATACTGATATACCTTGAAGTGAAAAAAAGCTACAAATTCAATAACTTTGTAATATATACACTAATTTCCAATTATGCTTTATGCATATATTTATGAAATAAAAATTTTAAAGACCTTGAAAGAAAAACATTACTAGTAATATCTTTGGCATTAGGAGAGCAATTAAATCAAGGAAATTTTGCTTTATTTGTATTACCTTTGAAAATACAGTTAGAAAAGATTTATTCCCTTACCTACAGTGTACCAACTTGCATCTGTTAATTTATTGATAACTGCTTCCTGATATGCACCATCAAGATTCTTCACTTCCACAATAGCTCCAACCTAAAAAATTAGAAAAACTTTTAGAAGATAAATGAATAAATAAAACACTGGCTTTTTTTTTTTAACTGAGTGCATGGTGGTGAAGAATAAAATAACTATTGATTTATGTTAAGGTGCTAGCAATTTTACCCACGACCGTTTTTGTGCCATCAGTGAAAATGTCAATGTAGTAAAAAAGTAAATAAATCTAAGTACTGTTATGAAAATAGTGTTGCCCTTACAACCTCCCTGAAAGGGTCTTGGAGGATCCCAGGGGTTCTCAGACCACACTTTGAGAACCACTATCTATGAAATTCACTGTCCTTGCCTCATATTACCACTCCTGTTTCAAAGAGGCTAGGGAAGGAAGAAACAGTTAAGAGTGAGCTTTGGCATTGCCTTAAGAGTTATAATGTGGGGAGGGGCACCTGGGTGGCTCAGTCAGTTGAGCGTCTGACTTTGGCTCAGATCATGATCTCACGGTTTGTGGGTTCGAGCCCCGCACCGGGCTCTGTGCTGACAGCTAGCTAAGAGCCTGGAGCCTGTTTCATATTCTGTGTCTCCCTCTCTCTCTCTGACCCTCCCCTGCTCATGTTGTCTCTCTCTCAGAAATAAATAAAACATTAAAAAAAAAAAAAAAGAGTATAATCTGGGGAGCCTGGGTGACTCAGTCAGTGTCTGACTTCGGCTCAGGTTATGATCTCACAGTTCGTGAGTTCGAGCCCCATGTCTGGCTCTTGCTAACAGCTTAGAGCCTGGAGACTGCTTTGGATTCTGTGTCTCTCTCTCTGCCCCATCCCCACTTGAACACTCTCTCTCAAAAATAAACATTAAAAAAATTTTTAAAAAGAGTTATAATGTACCACTAATGACAATCATTTAAAATATTTTCCATCAGATCAAGAAAATGCTTATAATTACATTCCTATGGTCTTTAATACTTCATCAAACAGCTTCTGCCCAGCAAAGGTAATCATCAACAAAATGAAAAGGCAACCTTTCATTTTTGAATGGGACAAAATATTTGCAAATCATGTATCTGATAAGGGGT